GGGCTCCAGGGCTTGTGCCAGGGCCGGACCAGGCACCTGTGTTGCACAGACCCTCACACCTTCTTCCACTCCCTTTTCCCTTCCTCCCTGCCACGGGGAAATGCAGAGGGATTTCCCTAGCAGTGGTGAGGGAGCCCAGGATGAGCCCGGCCAGACCAAGGGCACAACTTCTGGGGAGCTGTCGAGAGAAGGGGACGACTTGGAAGGCAGCCGAAAAGAGCAGGTTTTTTGACTGCCCTGTGAGAGAGCCTTGGAAACACAGCAATGACAGTATCAGTTACTGCAAGGTCTCCTGTCTAAATCTGTCATCACCCCCCAAGTTGCCCAGACATGGTCACCTCCAGGGAGCAGCAAGGGAACCTGCAAGGAAGGCTTGGAGCAGGAGGCAGGGCAGCCGCACTCCTTGAGATGCTGTGGGAGCCCCCCATGAGAACAAGCTTTGGCAGATCCTGGGCACTGCCCTGTGTAGCACCTGGCAGCTTTTGGAGGGGAGAAGATGTGCGAGCCGCATCGATCCCTGCAGCAGCCCCACCGAGACCAGGCTGCCTAGTGCCTGAGCTCAGCTGCCAGCGAAGCCTCTGATGCCGTGGTCTTGCTGCGCAGCTCTAAAAGCAGGTCATTCCCATCAAAGCTGGGAAGACCGTCCCCGAAGTAGGAGTCCACTGCTCAGCATCTCCTCCCCGGCCTCTGCTGCGCTGCGGCTGGCCAGCCACGCTCGCTGCTCCCCGCGCCGGTGACTCATGGATGCCATTCAGCTTAATTCATCACCTCCGATCTCCCGGTGCTCCTGGGCTGTCTTGCTGGCTTCTTGCCTGCTCGTCTTCCCTGGAGCAGCAGCGCTGGGAGTCAGGGAAGGAGGAGGAGAAATGCAGGTGGTTATGCACCCACTGCTGTTTCGTGGGTGTGCGGGGTGGTGGAGGCTGCACTGCCTGCGCCCATCCTCTCCCTTCCTCTGGGCTCAAGGCTGCGGGAAGTGGGGCAGGGGAGAGGAAAGGCTCAGCACCTTCCTCTTCCCACAGACAATGCTCCTGTCCCCGTTCCAGGCACCAGATGGCCTCCTGCAGTGCTCAAAGCCGGTTGTTGGATGCCATGCATCCCTCGTGGACAGCCTGGTCCTGATGTGACTGCAGGCAGCCCGACGGAGATGCGGGCAAGGCAGTGGAGCACAGGCTGTCATGCTGTGACCAGAGAGGGGTTAGGATCAGGGAAGGGGCAGTGGTGATCCCGGCACAGCACAAAAAAGAGCCCATGTGCCTTCTTGCAGGCCCCTTGCAGTGCCAGCAGCGCTGGGGGCTGGAAGGTACCGGTGATTTACCCCCACCCCAGCTCTCCATCTCGTAGCCCCAGCTGTCTGGAGGGACCTACCAGACTCAGCTCCCACCCTCAGGCTGCATTTTCTCATCATCTTTGGTGGAGCTGAGCTGGAGACAGAGCAGAGGGAGATTGCGGCTGGGAACACTTTACAGCATGGAAACAGCTGTGAGGCCAGCATTTCGGATGACTCCCATGGTCACAGCATCCCACAGTCTAGGGCTGAGTAGCCATAACAGTACATGGCTCACACAGGACTTTCACATACAGCCCCACATGGGCACGACCCTTGCTCCAGCTGCTGGTCTGGATTGCTGGCCCCGGTATCGGTACCTGAAGAGGAGCAGGCCAATTTAAGAAGAAGTTTCCCCCTGGACAGGGATGGGAGAGCAAGTGGCTATCCTGCTGCCCATGTGTGTAGGAGACATCCTCCTGCAGCATGTCCACTGCAGCCGCTGTTCAGCCAGCCCGCTCCGAGCCGTGCAGAGCCGCACGCAGCTCCTCCTCAGCAGGTGTTTCACACCAGCCTGGCTGTGTCCGAGAGATGAGCAAGGGGGAGAGTGAGTGGAGGCGATCCTCAGCCGTGCCGGCAGCTCCCGGCTGCCATGGGCTTGCACTGCCCCAGGAGCCCCCTGAGAGCACCTAGCTGCCAGTCGCTGCTGCCTCTCGAGCCCAGGGCTGGGCTGAGTGGGAACCGTGCTCCCTGGGGGACAGGCAGTGACGGGAGGAGGTGGGAGAGCCGGCTGGGGGCTGAGAGGGGCTCTGGCTGGCTTTAAAGGCCACAGATGAGACATCAGGGATGGAAGCCTTCTCCCAAAACCTGCCCCTCCCTGGCTGTGGCTCAGCAGACAGGCAGGGCACATGCGAAGGGTGACGAGGGGCAGCCGAGGCCGAAGCTGGGCTGTAGTTTCTCACCCTCTCTGCCAAGGAGGTGAATCAACACCCCGTTTCTTTCCTTCTGCAGCTTGGTACATTGCGAAGGGGAGCAGGTCTGGGTGGGTGGAGAACCTGAAACGCTCGCAGCCAGCGATCCCGTAGGAATTAGGACCAAGAAGGCACCCGGGCTCTGGTCGCCTTTTGCAGGGCAGCTGGCAGCAGGCTTCTGCCACATCCTGGGACAATCCAAGTCACATCTGCTCCAGCGTTCATCAGCAGCGCAGCAAGGAGCAGAAGTTGAGGTTGTGTGTGAAGGATGCAGTGTGGCTGGCCATCACTAGGGAGCAGGAAAGCGTTCCCACTGCAGCTTCCACCTAGGCAGCATACCCGAGCCACCTGGGCCAGGAGGTGCCAGCAAGGGACCCTCCTGTCCTGCCTTGACTTAGCAGACCTGGAAAAACACTTTATCCAAGGGATAGAATATCCCATGTGGACACCGGGGCTAGGACTCCCCTCTGCAGGGTAGGTAACCCCAGATCAAGAGCAATAGCTAAGCGTCTGTGACTTCAGTCCCCAGCCACATGCCACACCCCTGGCACGCAGCAGCCCAGGAGAAAGCAACCCTCATTCAGAGCATCATTTTGGGTCTACAGCACGGCTCGTAGTGCACAGACATGGCGATGGCTGACAGGGGGTGGCCTGCAGCAGCTGTGCCAGAGCCCCCGTGCTGGGGTCCTGCTCTGAATCATGGGGTGCAGAAAACCCTGCTCCTGGCAAGAGGTCTCTGGAGTTGGTAGCTGCTGCAGCCTCCTGCCTGCACCGAGCAGCTGGGGCAACTGGTAAATAATAAAAATAATAATTAAAAACGACAGGAAGGAGGTTTTCAACTCACCTGCAGGTCTGAGCAGCCCTCCCAGCATCACTCGCTGGGTGCCAGGGTCTCTCTGGGGTTTGGGGCACGTTGAGGAGATTGGAGCAACATGCCATGCCAGCTGCCATGGGCTCTGCAGGGAATGCACACCAGAAGCATTGCACCGTCCCAAGTCCATCAGGGATTTCAGTGTGCTCTGGGCTTGAACAGGCCTTGTGTGCTGAAATCCATCACTGGCCCATCGGCCTCATTCAGAGACCTTGGCTGGGCAGCAACAGCAGTGGCTCCAACAGTCCCACCTGCAGTGGCTGGTGTGCCGGGGGCGAGCAGGGGACCCGGAGCTCGCCGCCAGCTTGGTGCCAGCTTGGTGCTCTCCCTGGGGACATGCAGGGAGTGCGAGAGGAGTGGGGAAGAGGAAGCAACGGTGGCGATGATGCTGTGGGAAGGGCTCTGCTGGGTGGGGAGCGGAGAAATTTGGGTCTGTCCCCTTGGTTTTGCCTGAGGAGGGTGGGCAGGTGGCTGGAGAGGCACGTGCGCAGGTGAACGTACCACACCGGGGCAGGGGACATGGAAGGAAGATGGGCAAGGGAAAGTGGGTACAGTGGAGCTCCAAAGCCATTGCTAATATTGGGGTGTCTCCCCTGCGCAGGGGTTTTGTCTTGTTTGGGGTTTCTGGGATGAGTCTGCTGTCTCCTGTCCCCCAGCCCTACTGGCCTTGGGAAGCGATAGCACGTGGATGTGAAGCCTTGTGCTTTGGAGAGCAGCAGGGCAGTCTACGAATGTTATTTGGTTAGTGAACAGGGGGCAGATGTTGAAGCACCACCACGGTTACATCGCCTCCCAGCAATGCCACAGCTCCCCAGGCATGGCAGGGGTGTTCCTCACCTAGCAGACCCTGAGCACCACATCCAAGCATCCTGCTCAGCTTCCCCTACCCTCGCCCACATGCGGGCAGCAGAGAGGCAGGGGTTAGTACCACTAGACTAAAGTTGGCCTGCGCAACTACAGCCCTGCTCTTCTCTGCACCCATCTCTGCTGCCCAGGGTTCCTGCCACTGCACTGTTGCCAACAGAGGATGAGGGGGATGCAGTTTCTCATGCCTCCTTCTTTGTAGAATTGCTGCTGGTGCTCAGAATAGCAGGGGGGCCTGAATCCCAGAGCTGAGCAGGAGCTGGCCAGCACCACGAGCTCAGTGCTGGGGGCACATGGGGCTGGCAGCTAGGACACAGCTCTGGCTCCAGCTGCAGAGCTCAGGCTGCTTGCTGCTCATCCCTGGAGGATGACTGACGGAGCTGGTCTGGCTGGTGGACCTTTAAGCAAAGGGGTTTGCAGCTCCAGGAGAGCCATCACTGCTCTTCCAAGCACGAGGTTGTTGGCCTGGATGGGCCGTGCCTTGTGCTGCCAGCTGGCCAGGAAGGATGGAGACGAGCCTCTCCAGGTGGTGCTTGGTACCATCCCCTGCCCTTTCCCTGCACTGGGTGTTGAAGGCACTGACTGATGGGGTGACAAGTGAGTTGCAGGGCAGCTGGGAAGGAGGGTTTGCAGCAACTGGTTGGAGGCACATAGATGGTGTGGCCACCAGGCTCTAACACCCCCCGCCTGGGCCACAGGACATGGGGTGAGCTGTGGGGCACAGGATTTTCATATACCCCCAGCCTGGAAGGAAGCAGTCCCTGGGGCTGAAGTCCTGGCTGGAAGTGTCTCTCCAGGCTTGCCAGCCTCTGGCTGGTTCTCCTGTCTTCTGAAATGGGGCTCTGCAGTGCGTGACTTGGGTCCACGTGGTTATGGCTGATGTACATGCACTGTGGGAGGGCATTTGCTGGTACACCCAGCAGTAGGATAATTGGGTCCTCCTTGGCAGTCCTTGCTCAACCCGTGACTTCTCTGTTGGGTTGCAGACACCGAGACGACCTGTGAAGAAGCTCCATGAAGGTGACCAGCCATGCAATGTTCCTGGAAGGCTGTCCTCCTACTAGCCTTGGCATCCATTGCAATCCAGTACACAGCAATCCGGACCTTCACCGCCAAGTCCTTCCACAGCTGCCCCATCCCCAACCCTGTGAACTGCAGCCTGAGCCAGGACACCGATGCGGCCGACAGGCTGTGCGACGAGAGCCCCACTTTCACATATAACCTCTCCAGGAAGACGCACGTCCTCATCCTCGCCACCACCCGCAGCGGCTCCTCATTTGTTGGGCAGCTGTTTAACCAGCACTTCGATGTCTTCTATTTATTCGAGCCCCTCTACCACGTCCAGTACACCCTGATCCCAAAGCTGACCCAGAGCAAGAGTACGACGGACAGGCGGGTCATGCGGGGGGCCAGCCGAGACCTGCTGAGGAGCCTGTACGACTGCGACCTCTACTTCTTGGAGAACTACATCAAACCCCAGCCCGTCAACCACACCACCGACCGCCTCTTCCGCAGGGGAGCCAGCAAGGCCCTGTGCTCGCCACCCGTCTGCGAGTCACTGGGAGCCGTCGATCTCCACCTGGAGGAGGGAGACTGTGTGAAGAAGTGTGGTACCCTAAACCTGACACTGGCCACCGAGTCCTGCAGAGAGCACGGGCACGTGGCCATCAAAACCGTGCGGGTGCCCGAGGTCAGCGACCTCCGGGCCTTGGTGGAGGACCCACGGCTGAACTTGAAGGTCATCCAGCTGGTGAGGGATCCCCGGGGTATCCTGGCGTCCCGGAGCGAGACTTTCCGGGACACCTACCGGCTGTGGAGGATCTGGGACGGCACTGGCAGGAAGCCGTACAACCTGGACGTCACCCAGCTCACCACGGTGTGCGAGGACTTCTGGAACTCCGTGTCCACTGGCCTCAACCGGCCACCATGGCTCAAGGGCAAGTACATGCTGGTGCGGTACGAAGACCTGGCCAGGAACCCCATGAAAAAGACCGAGGAGATCTACGATTTCCTGGGCATCCCCATGGACAGCAATGTCGAGCGCTGGATACAGAACAACACTCGAGGAGACAGGTCCTCCTCCAAACACAAGTACGGGACGGTGCGCAACTCGGCGGCGACGGCAGAGAAGTGGCGGTTCCGGCTGTCCTACGAGATTGTGGCGTTCACCCAGCACGCCTGCCAGCAGGTGCTTGCGCAGCTCGGCTACAAAATCGCCGGCTCTGAGGAGGAGCTGAAGAACCTTTCCATCAGCTTGGTGGAGGAGAGAGACTTCCTGCCCTTCTCCTAAGGAAGCCCCGGGGGGGCCTGGTTTTGATACAGATTGTTTCTAACTGTTGCCTTATTTTATTTTATTTCGTTTTGTTTCCCCCCCTTTCTCTCTCTTGTCTTTTTCTCTCCAAAATTTGCACTAAACCTTGAGCAGGAATCTCAACAGAGTCCAGGGGAAGTGATTGCTGCCCCCAACACGTTTCGGACGCAAGAGGAGTCAGGTCTCCACGCAAGAGCTAGAACTGTGGATGGGTAACAATGTTTACAAAACACACAAAATGTATAAAGCAACCTTCAACTTTTCCAAACCGAAGGGTACCTGGGGTACTGTACTTTTGCACTGTTTACTTTTACAATGTAAGAGGTAAATATAAATATAATTTATGAATGGTGTCGTCCCCTCCAGAATAACTCCCCTTGCCCCCGGTGAGCAGGTTAGACTGGAAGCTGAACGTGGAACAACCTCCTTGTTTTTGATCTCAGTGCGACATGTCTGTCTGTTTAAGTCCTGTTATTGGGCTGGGCAGTTGGTCAGCTGCTCGTACATGGTTGTTTGGTAACACCTGTGATATTTCTTTGTGCCAAAAACCCACAAAAGAAAAAAAAAAAGGGAAAAAAAGTGATTGGGTGGTTTGGTAAAAGCCCAACACTTTTAATGCTTTATTTCTGTGTTTTCTGTAAATAAAAGTGCAATAAAACTGACCCGGGGGTGAACTTCAACAGAAAGACCTCAGTGACTAAACTGGGGTGGATGCACCAACAGGCAAAAAGCAGCGTCTCCTGGTCTGCCCAGCTCCTACGAGCTGGGGCAAGGCTGGGGGGAGCCGCACCACAGCCCCCCAGGGCAGCTGGAAACTGCAGTCACCTCCTTTGGCATGTGCATGTTTGCATCTGAAGTGTGTCAAAATGCAAGTAGTTAAGCCAAAAGTGAGAACCTGTGGTTATTTACAGACCTGAGAGCTTGTTGGCCTGCATGGGGGCACGGGACTTGCCAAAGTGCCCGGCTGGAGAGCGCTTGCTCACCAGCATGGTGAGCCCGGCCCCATCAGGCTGCCCCTCATTGCCCCCCTGCCATGTCTGACACTGTTGATGCCAGCATTGGCGTGCCCTGCCCTGGAGGACCAGAGAAAAGTGCTCGAGTTCAGGTCATAAAACTGACAGAATGAAAACGAGGAAAGAAGATGGTCCTGGCAATGCACGAGTTGTTCTTCGCGAGCTGCCCGCTGCCTGCAAAGGCAGGGCCCACGCGCACAAGGCACCTTGCAGGCAGTGAGCGAGCCCCTGCCACACAGGGCCTGAGGGCTGAGCAGGGCAGCAAGCAGCTGGACAGGGAAGCCGGTCACGCAGAGCGGGAGCAATACAGCACCGCAGCATAGCATCAAGAGCCTGACACAAGACGCTGCCCGTCTATTTGATCTCTGCCTGCTGGAACAGCCGACCAGCTCCTCCGACCCAGCTGGGACATAGTTCTCCAAACAGCCCAGCCCTTGAGGCACGTTCTACAGACCACAGACCAGTCCCCAGGGGACAGAGGACAGCAACGCCCCAGCAGTTTCCCATCTCTGTTGCTCCTGGAGCCAGGCAGGACAGGGACCCACAGAGAGATGTGACCACAGCTGGTCATATCCACCCACGGCTACACACTCCCAGTGCTGGACCCACCCCTGGCACAGGCATGTTTGAGCCACCCACAGCCCACCTACCTGGGCAGGTCTCCTCTCCAAAGGTGTCTTCCAAAGCCTGCTGCCCACCAGCTCCCAGCCCGAGCTCTTACTTGGGAGAGGGCGAAGACTGGGTCCTGCAGTCACACACAGGGAACTAGGACACGCTGCCTGCACACCCACTGCCTGGGTAAGGTAGGGGAAAGCTGTAACTGTATGTGATTTTCTAGCATCCTTTTCCCCCTTTAAAGACCTCTGGAGGGGCAGCTTGTTAATGGTGTTTTGCAACCTGGCTTAACATGGCAAACCTGCTCCAGCTAGGCTGCAGAAAAGGTCAGCAGGGGTGATGTATCTGATGGTCTCTCCTCAGGGCTCACAGCTGGAGCACCTGCAATTCAGCTGCGCTGCCTGCAAGGTGACATGGCCAGCTCCAGCCCCATGAGGAGGAATGGGGCAACAGTGTGCATGTGCTGTGGGATGGGCACTTCCTCCATCTGCCTCCCCACAGCAGGCATGGGGGCAGGTCCTAGGAGAACCCCCCACCCCAGGCACCTTCACTCAGGGGCAGGAGCAACGAGCGTCTTCGCCCTGTCCCCTCCACCGCCAAACCTGCTCCTGCCACTGGCTCAGTGCCTCCCAAGCCACGCTGCCCCGGCTGTGCCTGCGGGCAAGGATGGAGGAGTGGGGCAGGTGGCAGAGGTGGCCGCAGCCAGCCTCATCAGTGCGCTGCTCACTGCTCTTACTGAGCAGCTGGCAGCAAAATGTCAACCAAATAAATGGCTTGATTGCCCCGTTATTAGTTACTAAATTAATCCTTTTGTCAGCACTTAACAAATGCTGAGCTGTTGGCTCCTGGCCTCGACCCAGTAAAAGGGACACCCTGTCTGGGGCCTGATCCAGCACAACGCCTGGGCTGCAATCCTCCCTGCACGAGGGCTGTGTGTCCCTGGGAGCATCAGGTGGCTCTGCCCTGGGTAAGTGCCCGTGGAGCAGGTGAGGTGGCCAGGGTGGCTGGCTGTGCCCTCCCCAATGCCCGTGCTGCCTGTCAGCCAGCGAGCAAAGGCAGAGGGTCTGGCTGCCCCGTGGGGCTGCCCCACAGCTCTGGGGAGGGATGTCAAACCGCCTTCCCCTGCAGAAAGGGCAGGCTGCTGCAATGGGAATGAGGCTTTTCCTTGCTTCCTCAGCTGGAAAAAGTGGCTATGCAAACCTGCACGAAGGAACAGCAGCTGTAGAGGCAAAATTTCCTGTCTTCGGCTGCCGAGATCCCACTTTCGGGGCTAGGCCAGCTGTCCCTGTCCCGAAAGTCCTCTTGTGCACTGGTCTTTAAACCAACACAAGAAATGGAGTTTAGAAGTCTTATCCAAACTGTTCTTACCATTCCAATCAGGAAACGTGCCTGCAGCAAAATGGCTTCTGAATCATGGTTGAAAGCCATATCTTAGTTTAAGCAGGGACATGCTTGGTGCCTCATGTAGAGCCCTTAGGGGAGAGATCTTATTTCCCAAGGAATCTCTAACATCTTCCTTCAACTGCGCTTCCTCTCCTCATTTCCCCCCACTGGAAACAAGAGCCAGCGTAACCAAGGTTTTTATCCTCAAATTTTACTGTAATTAAAATACAGAGATGCAGAATATTCCCAGAAACACACTGCAAAACAAACCAAGCAAACAAATTCAGTAGGAAACCAATTACAGACAATGAAATGATAAAGAACAAAAGTGTTCTCCGGAGCCCAGCACCGTGCATGGGACTGTGTGGCCGCAGTGACGGCTTTGGGTTGCCAAAGGGCTCCTCGGCTCCTAGAGAAGCAGAGTCGGGCCCTGGCATCTGTCCCAGCAGCTCTGTGTCTCTCTCTAGCCATCTCCACATTCCCACTCACGCTGTTGTTTTTACAAGGATGACTTTGCAATGGAGACACAGAAATGACCCACCCGCAGGGACAAGAGCCAACGAGAGAACCCAGAGGAAAAGAAGTGGGTTAAGATTTTCCACACACAAAACACAAGGGAACAGAGAAGGGTGGAAGACATGCACTGCTCTCCCAGCCAGGGGAGCTGCGGGGGCAGAGTCACCCTCTCTGCCCTCCCAGCCAATGAGTGTGGATGTTTAATGAAGGTCTCGGTGAGAGCTTCGGAGAGCTCTATCCAGGGGCAAGACAAAAAGCTAAGGGAGGGATAAAAAAGAAAGCGAAGGATAATGAGATGAGCAAAGGGAAAAGGGAGGAGAGGATAGTGTCTGTGGGCTATCCTCTCAGCCAGGGCACATTCCTTGGGCATGGGGAATGCCCAGTCATGGTGGGGCACAGGGCTGCATGTAGGGCCACATCCCACCTCCACCACGGGGAGATCATGGTGAAAGCCTGGGGGAAATCTGGGAAGGTGGGGGTGTAAGGAGGGAGCTGATCTGGCACTTGGATGATCCGTTGGGCACATTGATCTAGCTAAATGGAACACCTAGCAATCATCACTACTATGGAAGCAGGGCACCAGCCAGGTGTGGACCACCACCACACAACAAAACCCACATTTGTCCACTTCCCTTTCCATGCTCTTCCCTAGGATGAACTCCATCATGTTCGTCCTCTGATTCAGAGCCTGTCCTAAGAAACAAATTCCCTCCATGCTCCCCCTTATCTTGCTCCCCCACTCTCACTCTCCCCTTGCCTCCTCCTGTCACCAGACCCTCTTCTTACTGTCACCTGAAAACTGGTGATCTTCCTTGTACTAGCTCCCTTCATCCTTCCCTCGGTGGTGCCCCCCCTTTTGGACCAAGCCCCGCTCCCCCCCATATCAATGGGATTTATGCACAATGTAGTTTTTGCCTCTCTTACCACGAAGGGGCGGTGGGAGAAGAGCCACACCAGTGGCCGAGGTGGACTCTGAGCTAGCTGAAGTCTCTGTAGTGGGGGAAGAGGAAAGATGGGGCATCTGTCAGGAGCCAACAGCTTCCCCATCCAATCCAGATCCTATCGTTCTGCAACCAAAGCTGTCAGGAGGCGTCTTTGCTCTTAGAGTGGGAACACCGACCCTGTTTTCCTTCTGCTCTGGCACCAAGACTGCCCAGAAAAGCAGCCTGGGGCTGGGTCACCTGGATGAACTGAGCAGGCTTAGCACACTAACAGAGACATACTTTCCAGAGGCCTTTTGAATCCTGCATAGTTATATGTTCCTGAATGCCCATTAAGCAGTGTGAGGCTCTGGTTTTGGCCCTTCTACCCATATCTGCTAGTTTGCTCTCTTTTGCTATTCATGGTCCCAGAGTTCTCCATTAGCTGGGCTCCAAGAACAGCGATTTAGGCTGTGAGTTCCCCTCACACCTCTTCTCCCCTTCTCCAGGCCATCCCGCAAGGAAATGGCGG